ATAAAATTGGAAGAACAGTAGGTACTAACAAAAAATATAGGCAAAGTATTCACAGATATTCAATGCAAGCGAACGGATCAACTCAAAAAATTTTCACAAATGAGCAACATTATTAAAATTAATCAGAATTATGTTAAGGTATGCAATTATTAAATAGCACTGGCGTAACTAGCCAGCTGACCTGGGAGGGGCCTAGGGTGGGCCTAGGCTGGGCCTGGCAGAGGCGCTGATTTTTTAAAGTCCTCATGGGTGCAGGATAATATTTTCATCTTGTTTATAGGGCGAGGGGGAAGCTCGCCGCAGGCGCTGGCGGCAGCGAAATAGTGTATACCGGTCTGGCAAGTGAACAGTGAACATCTTTACATGCCAATTTAAATGCACTAGAATGAAACGTCTAGAAAAAGTCTAAGGTTGAATAGAGAACGGAAACGATTTCCCTTGTTCCACCTCCAGCGTTCCAAGCGCTGCATGCTGGTGGTGGAACAGGGGAAATCGTTTTCGTTCTCTATTTAACCTTGGACTCTTCCTATACATTTCATTCTATTGCATTAAAATTGGCCTGTAAGATGCTGGCTTGCCAGACCTGTATATTTTTCTATTTTTCTCTACGAGCGTGCGAAAAGTGCTTCTTTCTGCACGCATTTCAGGCCAGAAAAATATCACTTCTTCGCACTAGTATGCGGAAAAGTAGAATAATTATGCAATTTAAGGTTAACCTGGTACTTTCAGGTCCTAAAATGCCTCATGTCCCGATTATTATCAAAGAATAGAGATGGAGATGGAGAATAGCAACATTAGCAATATAAAGTAATAGAGCATAGAACTGACCACAAATAACAAATGACAGAATACTAATACCTTCCTAATCTAAGACTAATACTACTTGTATAATTCTTATACAAAGTTGTGTAAATTTGAATTACATGATACCCACGAGAGCTTCGAGCACCCATGAGAGGTTGCTTATGGGAGCACGTTCCCCAATGCCCCCATGTACTCGGCGCCAGTGGCCTGGAGCCTGTTATTGTAACTTATTGGAATCTTAAAAAAATTAGAACAGTGCATTTACTCAGGTATGCACCGTAAGCTAATTTCGGGATTAGTTATGAAAACCTGGATTAGATATATTATGTAATTTTAAGATACAAAAGTGGATGGGATATATGTTAGATCGGTTATTCTATGGATGGGAACGAGATAGAGATGAACATCTTGCGCCTACATCCGTAACAAAAGAAATTGGCCCCTCTGACATACTAAAAATGGTATTCTGTAATTGCAAGGAAGGGACATACCAACAAGGCATGCTCCTGCAGAAAACTTGGATTGAAATGTTCTGCAAAATAAGTCAATGCTCAGGAATGATTTGCTGGAATTCGTGCATCGTATATGAAAATGATGATATTACTTATAGTCCAGGAGGTGGCGCCAAAAACATGCAAGAGTTTTCGCAAGGCGGATATTTTCAAAATAGGTCGTACTTTAGTGCTAGAATGCTAGTGTACAGTCAGCACTAACAGTTCCGGGATAGCTGGCTCTGGGACGCGGGCAAAGTTGTAATTTTAAGAAGCATCTAAACTGTTTTCTCAAAGCTCAAAATTTATAGAAATTTTGCACATTATCTGTTTGAAGGTCACAGATAACGTATGTAAATCGTCAGACGTCTAGTTCGTTGCAAAAAGGGGGTCAGACGTCCTCAAAGTTCTTATTTTATGGCAATTTATTCGGTGTCCTGTCAAAATATATTTTTGCAGGTATTTGACAAATATATTTGAAGAAAATGCCATAAAATAAGAACTTTGAGGACGTCTGACCCCCTTTTTGCAATGAACTAGACGTCTGACGATTTACATACGTTATCTGTGACCTTCAAACAGATAATGTGCAAAATTTCTATAAATTTTGAGCTTTGAGAAAACAGTTTAGATGCTTCTTAAAATGACAACTTTGCCCGCGACCCAGAGCCAGCTGTCCCGGAACTGTGAGTGCTGACTGTACACTAGCATTCTAGCACTAAAGTACGATCTATTTTGAAAATATCCGCCTTGCGAAAACTCTTGCATGTTTTTGACGCCAGCTCCCCAACTATTATAATTGAACGTAGTAGGTACCTATTCTTTTGTGAAACTGGAAAAAGTCAGTAAGTAATTATTTAAATACATGTTGCTGATACATCCCAACAAATGTAAATTTGCATTTTAAGTAAAAAATATCCCTACACTTTTCCTCATAAACCTGATAGTTTTAGAGATATTTGCAATAAAATGTAAAAAACAAAATGGAGGCCGTTTTTTTAACTTGTCAGAGACATAATCCATGGGACTTTTAGTATGTTGTTTAGAACGTTACTCCTCGTACATTTTTGTTAAGAAATGCTTGTATAGAATTTTTTCAGGTTCAACATCTAACTTGCCTACACTATCAGTAGATTTTCCATGATTTCTACATTAGGAGGGTTGAAGTAGATGTTCAACGCGGCTCAATGACTCAGAAAGTATTCGGGATATGAAACTCAATTTAGCACGGATTTATAGAGAATTTAATACTCTTTCTAATGCAGGATTTTCAAAAAATTGAGATATTTGTTTTCTGTTTGAAATGGTCATTTGAAGATGATGTTAGATTGTTTTTAGACTAATTATCAGATCGTATCATAATCACAGTCAATCTTAAACTTGAAAACTACTAATTGTATACTGGCCTTTATATATCCGTAATCCATTCTTGTAATATCCAAAATAAACACGATAATTTTTTTGCCTGAATAAAGCAGTCTTTTCTGGAATTTTAGGCATGGGATTCTGTATACTATGGCGAAAGCGCATCCCGACAATATCTTGAAATCCGTGAGAGATATTCTATGAATAAAAAAGAGCATTTGCTTTTTCTCGCAAAATCTGAAGCAAATGCTTCATCCAGTATGAATAAAATTTCAAGCAAAACCTTATACTTAAAAGTCGGAAGCAAATGCTCCAGGAAAAAGCAAATACTCTTTCTCTTATGAATAAAAGAGAGTATTTGCTTCAAATTGGGAGCATTTACTCCTTGCAAAATGCATCTGCTCCAGAGCAGATTTATGTTTACTATTTTGGTAAATTATTTCCAAATATTCCTATGTCCCGTTTTTTTGTAGATTGCATTAGCAGTCTATATAGCTTGTTCCAGCTGCTCTAGTGTTCAAGATTTGTAGGCTCCTTCCAAAGGAGGCCAGCTTTCTGGGTGGTAAAGTACCCACCCTCTTGGGGTGTGAGCAAGGTATTTCAGCCTTTCGCAGAAGTGACCAGGGCATTCACAGATTAAGTGTTCCGTAGTTTTTCATGCTCCTTCGCAAGATCTGCAGTAATCGTAAACTGATTTGCCTATTTAGGTGATTTCACCAGAAACTGCCCACTGAGCAGTCGACCAACGACTTCTCTAATGTCTCTTCTGTTTATCGTCAAGAACCTGTTCAGATCTCAGATATATGAACCTTCTTCATCTGTTGATTTCTTTGAAGACGTGGCTTTTCATTAGTACACAGAAAGCCACTGGGCCTTGAGGAGGTGTTAAAGCGCCTTGCTTTGTGAGACAGCCCGCCTCCTCGTTGCCCTCATCACTTTATTCCTAAGTTAAGTGTTTAAGGATATTTTTACCCTCCGAAACTAACGGAAAATTGCACTTGATTGGGTTCTAGAACCTTTAGACCCGTTTGGCTGTCGGACAGTATGTAAATGTGCTCTCTTAAAAGGACTTTTTTAAGACAATCTTGGGCACAGATGCTTATGGCCAGAACCTCAGTTTGAAATTTTGTGGACGTTTTGCCCATTGCTAATGGGAGCTTAAACTTTGAAGTTTGGTCCAGTTATTCCAAGACCGACTCCTTCCGTTACCTTCGACCCATCTGTGTGACTGTGTACCACCAATCAACGGTTCCATAATGGTGCGTTGTCCGCTTGCGGTGGCTTTGCGTTCTTCCATGATTGGCGTTTTTTTACTACCACTTCCTATGGATCCATTGATATTATCGTTCTGGTAGTTTAATTTGTCATTCAAGTCTTAGATTCAAGCAACAGGTACAACAGGTAATATCTTTCACTTCATTTCTTTGAAGCATATGCTCGCAAGTAAAAGGTCTTCATTATTCATATGATATGAAGTAAATGCTTCCACTTCTACCTTTTACTTGCAGCTTTTGCTTATACTTCTACCTTTTGCTTAGAAGCAAATGCTCTATTTTTATTCATACGGCTGATTTAATCAAAATCATTAGAAATTGTAGCTCCTAAAGCTCTAAAAAACCTGCATTGGAAAATATTTTCAGGTTTCAACTGAGTTTGTAGTTTTTGACTAAAATTCAACTTTGAAGCTCAATTGCTCAAAAACTATTTGAGCTATCAAACTCAATTTAGCACACATTTATAGAGAATTTAATGCTCTTTTTAGTTTCTAATAGTGTATAATCAGATTCGATTATGAAATCCTCATAAATCGAAGTATTTTAGTTCTGTACTTCAATTACAATAGAGCCGGTAATAAGATTCGTAGGTATGCTTTTTTGGGTTCAATTTCCCTCTCTTATTTGTCCTCTACAAGATTTTGTATTTTCTCTTCTTTCAAAAAAAAAAAATGTTTTGCCCTTGACCCTTCCATTTAGCCCTCAAAGAATATATATCGTCTCTGTCCTTTCTAGGTCACCAAAAATTCCGAACGAAGGGTTGTTTTATCGATTAGATAAGGGCTGATTCGCCCTGGACTATTTTCTGACTCCAAGTGCGTAAATTAGATGTTCGATTTGGATTTTCCAGGAAATTCATCTCTGTGTTTTAAAATAAAATTATTTTTCAGTTGTGAGCTTCGTATAATGTGACTATTATGGGTTTTGTGTGCAAATAATTCATATTTGGTTGATGTGCAAGTGGAACTATAGGTATTTTTCTATTTAAATTTTTCTATGATGAGGGATATAAGTGCCATTATCAAATCAGGATTTAAAAAGAAAAAACTTCTTTTTATCTTATCGACTCAATAGTTATTGGTTGATTTTTCTAGTTTTAAAATAATAAAGTTTGCCCGAATATTCCCGAATCAGTTCCTGATTCTCCCAGGTAGGTATATTTTTGCGCAATCTCCAAAAGGACGTATTCAACATTTTTAAACCGATTCAGCCTTGCTTGAGCTTTCAGCCTTCAGCGATTATTATTGTTAGTAGTCTATCGCATTCCGAAAAGGAACCATAAAGTTAACTGAAAAAAAAATTGTGAATTTTATCGAGCACGTTATTATGCCTATGGGATTGTGGAGAAAGTATCCTAGGGTACCTTCAATTAGCGATTTTCAGAGTAAGTAGTTATAAACATGACCTTTGGTAACAATTTAAGTAAATTATTGAATGCCGGTTCTAGAAATTCATGTATCGATTCGTGGAAAATTTTGATACCTTATGTCGAGTCTATCGGAAATATTAATATTATTGCCTTGTTATTGATCATTTTATGGGTTGTTCTTTAGATAGGTATTTAGACTAACCATAAATTTCCAAATCCTGAAATTAATATTTCCTGAAAGTGGAAATTTTCCGTTCTAGTTATTATTGATCCTGGATCCTAGCAGACAGACACGATTTCGTAACCCATATAAAGTTGACTGAGTGTTTTTCAAAGTGAAGCGTAGTAAATATTTATTTTCGTGCTTCAATTATTTTGCCATTATTTCCTCGTTTGTTATCGGATAATTATTTCATTATCGTAATGTGTCCCTATTTAGCTCAATGACAACAATAATTGGTGAAATTAGTGAAAAATAGAAGTAATCAACAACTCAGAATGATATTTAGAAGTCCTCCGGATCAAGCTCTAAGTAAGTCTTCTCGAAAAAAGTAACTTTGTGATAATGCATTTATTGGTGCGAAAACACTCAAACTATAGCTTTGTTGAATTTATTTGAGACAAAAATCTCACTGTCTCACTATCGACGCACATTTCACTAGTTTCTTATTCGCGTTTTCTCTGTGACCGGCTCCGTTTCAAAGACCGTCGTTCATTCGCGAATTTTCTAGAAATCAGGCACTGTTGCAAGATTGTGCACACTTCTTCAATTGACGACATGGTAAGTTGACTACTTCTATACGCCCTAGAATTATTCAATCCTTTGGTAAAAATTTTCTGGAGAATTATTTACTAAAAATCTCCAAAAAACGTTTATTTTGTTTACTTCATCAAGATTTTAAGTTCCAATTTCGAAATTTCTTGTTTTCAAGGTATAGGTACAGGAAATTCATCCCATGCGATGTTGTCTCGTTGTACAGGGTGATCTATTATAAATGTCACCCCCTTCCAACTTTTTCATTTTACATTTTTGACAAAAGTGTCAAATACAAAATTTTCAATAAATTGTCGGAAGTTTTTTACTAGGTCAGTTTTAGACAAAAAAGTGTAGCAGTGTGAAGTTATATTTTTTTAAATGGAACACCCTGCATATTGTGCGCTTATTTGTTAGTCCCTTCTAACCTGATTTCAACGATATACGATTTGATATGTCTATCTTCGATATTTATAGGGAAAAACATGAAAACCCCTTTCAAGGTTTCACATTGAAAAAAGAAAAATTATACCATTTAAGTTTTAGAGAATTTTTTTTTATGAACAGTTTATTGCTCAAAATATTCATTAATATATAAGGTGAAATATAATAAATCCAGGTGTCTAATAACATGAGCAAGGGATTTTCGCGTTTTTCCCTATAGCTATTGAAGATAAACCGAGAGATAAACATATCAAACCGTATATCGTTGAAATCAGGTTGAAGGGGACCAACAAATAAGTGCACAATATACAGGGTGTTCCATTTAAAAAAAAATATAACTTCACACTGCTGCACTTTTTTTGACGCACCCTGTATGCCCAAAACTAACTTAGTTGAAGAGTTTTGTATTTTACACTTCTGTCAAAAACGTCAAATGATAAAGTTAACAGGGGGTGACATCCTGTACGAAAGGTCCCGTTCAATCCATTGAAAACGAAAAGCAAGTCGCTGGGAATCCCCAATCCCCCCATATGCGATGTTGTTAGATTTCCACGATTTCTCTGGCTTGGGTTAGTGTCGAGTTTTTCAAAGACTACCCCCTTTGGATTTTTATTTCAAAATCTTCAAGTTGAATCAAAATTTTCAAGAGTTGTAGTTCCTATTAGGCTCTAAGAAACCTGGATTGAAAAATATTTTCAGGTTTTTTAGTTTTTGAGAATATTGGGTTTGAAGTTTTTGACTAAATTTCGACTAAAATTCACTTTGATGCTCAATTGCTCAAAAAATATTCGAGCTGACAAAATGTGAGAAGCCAGGAATAGAGAAATTACCTACGTCTTTTTGTTTAACAGTTTTTCCTCAATTTGCCATTATTTATGAGTTCCTTTGTCTCAATTTTTATCTATTCCTGGCTCTTGAATCTTTGTTTTCTTCTAATTTTAAATAAAGACATAGAAAATTCAGAAAAATAGACAAAATATGAGAGCCAGGAACTTACGTTTTTTGTCTAATGTTTTTCCTAAATTTGCCTTAAATTTCCTTTTTATTACTTAATTTCTTCGTCTCAATCTTCAATCTTTGTTTTCTTTCAAGCTTTTTAAATAAAGAAAATTCAGAAAAATAGACGAAATATGAGAGTCTGGAATAGAGAAACTACGTCCTTTTGTCTAACAGTTTTTCCTCAATTTGCTTTTAATTTCATTTCATTTCTCAGTCTATTTTTGTCTCTCAAATTTCTGTTTTCTTCTAACAGTTTCATTTAAAGAAAATTTGTCTTGAAATTCCTCTCAGAGTTTTTCATTTTTTGTCTATTCCTAGATCTTGAATTTCTGTTTTCTTCTAAACTGTTTCAAATGAAGAAAATTCAAAAAAATAAGAAAAATATGACAGCCCTGAATAGAATAACTATGTCTAACAATATTTTTCCATTTTACCCTAAATTTTCTCTAATTTCCCAGTTAGCAAACATTTTTTGTTTAGTATTAACATCCCTCATCGGAAATACAGGTAGGTAATTTAAGATTTCGTACCCTAAGGACCCCTATGCGATGTTGCCAGATTGTACACGACTTCTCCGGCTTGAGGGAAAATGCAAAGTTGGCAACGTCGTGTATTGCTGAGCTACTTTAGGCTTACTGAGGTGTTGATTAAAATATAGCACTGTTTTCTAAGGAAGCTTTTTTAATTCTCTTTCAACGATAAAGATACATATGTCTGGAGAAAATGACATAACATAATATAACCATTAAATTTTTCTTACAAAACCTAGACACTACATTTTCTCCCTAACTTTAGATTTGAAAGTTTTTTCAATGAATCAGAATAATTGGTATTATAGTCTCTCAAATAGGTTGGTATACTCAAAACTGAGTTGATGGACGCATGTTGTCACAAAGATCTGATGGTTCAACGGCTTGAAATTCTTGAATGTGAGGGTTGCAGGACTAATCTTCCAGAATAATGTTTTCGGTGGGATAATAGGAGTAGTAAACGCATTTTGTTAAAGAGTGTTTAACGGATGTTTGAGGACTTGACTAGGAATACTAGGATTGAATATTTTGAGAAACGATGCATTTCTTTTGATATATTTTTCTTCTCTCTCTCTGACTTTTTGCAACTTTGACAGGCTGTAAAACCTGAACGGTTAATTTTAGAGGAAACTCGATTTTTCATTCCTATCTTAGATTTTCATAAACTATCATTTGACACCAACTTTGAGCTTAACCGGAGATTAAATTTAACTGGAATTTTTAATCATGGATTTAATTCAACGTTGGTGTCAAATGATAGTTTATAAAAATCTAAGATAGGAATTTAAAATCGGTTTTCCTCTAAAATTAACTGTTCAGGTTTTACAGCCTGTCAAAGTTGCAAAAAGTCAATTTTCAACTGTCAATATTTCCAGAACAGTTGAACTTAGGTATAGGGTATATCACATGAAATCTGCTCAGAATTTTACGTAGAATCCAAATATGTAATCACATACAGGGTGTTCCATTTAAAATAGCAATGTTGCCACTAGTTTAGAGTAGAAGCGGCAATACCGCATGGTCAAAAATATTTTTAAAGAGTAGATCATGGTCGTTTATCCCGGTTGCCAAATTTTCAAAATGATCCGCTTTTTAGTTCTCCATAAATGTCTAATACGCCATCCACCGTGGGACACCCTGTATATGGGTACCTATAATTATAACAAAATAAAAGTGTACCTACATATTTGGTTAGTAGATGTACTTCAATAATCCAAAAAAATGGAAAAACAAATGACTGAACTAGTGATAAATAAATAAATAAACAATTCACCAACAATCTTAACACAACCTCACTTTCTTACAGCTGGTTTTAGACCCGACGTACGTCCACCGAAAACAGACAGTTTTGATTAAAATCATTTGTATTTTTAATTCATAGGTCTAAAAAAACAATTAGAGCATGAATTATAGAGAAATAGGTTCAAAGTTTGACGTATAATAGGTTCAAATACGAAGAAATGCCCAGAACCCGAAATATTCCTGTCTAAAAATTACTCTTTTGAATCCCCCATAAGAAATACATTGCTGTTTTTGTTAAAATGTGTTTAGGAACACATTTTAAATTTCGCGCCCGATTTTTCCTAACATCAGGCGATTTCGCCTCAGTTTGGTACCCCAGTTTGGTCTGTCAAACAGGTACCATTCTGGAGGTTTGGTAGCTTTCTGTTTCTTTTTCTCTCATGTCCAAATAAACATGTCAAAGTCAAAATGTACCAAACAAAGTCTGGGGCGAAATCGCCTCTAACTAATATGGTGAATAGGGATGTTCACTATTTTTCAATTGTAATAAAAAGTGGTGGTTTTAGGTCCACAAAACACGTATTAAGTGTTAAAACATCTAGGAACCCTTTATTTTTTCTGATAAATCGAAAACAAAAAAACGAAATTAGCGAGGCTAGCAAAACGACCCCCTGCGGCGAGAGTAGGGCTTCTGACGTCACTGTGCGGAACGAATAATCAGCTGACGCATTGGCGAGATTTGTTTACAAGTTTACATTGGATTTATTGTGTTGCTGACTGTTGCTTTATCCCAAGAAGCTTCATTCACTCCAATTACCTGTGTTTGTGTAAAGATGGGAGACTCAAACAAAGTTGAACCGAGTCGAAAAGAGTGGTATCTACGTGCGTGTTTTTCTACGAGGCGCGAAAAGCGACTACTGGCAACGCCGGTTCTGTTAGACAGGCGGAACACGCATGTCAACGCGCCCATCAAACTTAATCATCATATTAGCATTGTATATACGGCTCATTTTTACACCACTGATACATCCCTACCATGACCTCCC